CACAAAGAAACCCTGTCTTGAAAAAAAAAAAAAAAAAAAAAAAGGTACATCAGAGGGTGAGTAGAAGGCACAAGGATGGTTCTTATCATGCATAAGTACTTCCATGTCCAGAGGGAATTGAGTCCATCAGTCCTGAAGATACCAACTCCCAGGATGCCCCAGTCCCTTCTGTAAAACATGCATTCTTATCCACAGAATCTATACACAATGTTCACGGTGCACATTCAACCACATGTACCCCAGGATAGCTATGAATACAGCCCAACACAAAATGATAAATTTACTTAAAGCATTATGAATTGCTTTGTTATTGTTGTAGGTAGCTTTGTGTGTGTGTGTGTGTGTGTGTGTGTGTGTAACTCAGGTATTAGCTGTGCAGATGATGATACTTTGTGACCTGTAAGATCACCCTCAAGTTACTTGTTAAGATGTGGATGCCATGTTAACAGTGCTACACCACATAGTTTATGAAAGAATGGAAAAAATCTGCATATACAGAACAGTGCAAATATTATCTACACAGTTTACAGCGTAGGTTGAGCCTATGGATGTGAGGCCTGTGGCAGGGAGCTCTGACTTTCCTGGAGATGAGATCGCAGGCCAGCATTTCAGTGACGGTTTTCCTCTGTAGGTCTTAACCTCACACCCCACACTCTGCCTTTTCTTCAGGCCTGTCCTGGTGCTTCCCTGAATGAGATGCTCTCGGCTTATTCTCTACCTAGTAGATGGGCTCCTTCAGGTTTAGATCTGGGCCACCTCTTCCAGGAAGCCTTCCATGAAGGTCTACACAGACCGAGATAACTTCTGTTCTGCCCTTTGGCCCTTTGTGCAGAACATTTTGTATGCTTCATAATTACACTGACATTGACTGTTAACAGGTCCACTTATCCCACTAGACTCTTGAGGGGAAACCATGTTTAGTTATGTTTGCTGTGTTTCTTTTTCATTCTTGATGCTGTGTGTAACACATTCTTTGGCTGAAGAGATACTTCCTATATAACCCTGAGGACCTGGGTTTGAATCCTAAGAACACACAGAAGGCTGAACACAGTAGCACTTGTCCATCATCTTGCATCCCTGTGGGAAGATGAGAGGCATAGACAGGAGAATCCACAGATGCTTCCAGGCCAGCTAGCCTGGTGAGCTCAGTGATGAATGAGAGACACTATCTCAGACAAGGTGGAATTCGAGAACCAGCATTCTATATTGCCCTACAGCCTCCACATGCACGCTGTGTGGACTATTTATGCTTGTGCTCAAACACATGAATGTGCATGCATATACACACAGGTTTTTTTAAATTTCCATTTCTTACCACAGAGAAGGTTGTTGAACCAAACTGTACCAGAGTAAAGCTCCAAAGCCCAATAAGGGGCTGAGAGGATCCTCCACAGCCCAACCTGGTCTATACAGAGCCTGTTTGTTTCTAGCTTTATCTGGCCTGGTTGATTTTATCACTTCCTGTAATACAGTTCAGTGCACAAGAAGGTCAGAATCATAGAAGACTCTCATGTCCCAGAGAGTGACTTCTATGTCATCCTCCATTTCTAAGAGCACCAGTGGTGACCTGGGGCTCTGGGCTATAGTTGGTCTTGCACTTTATGTCACACTGTCATGATGACAGCCATTATTCTTCAGCTATTGTGACTAATAGTAACATCATGGGAAAAACAAATGCAAATCACTGAATAAGCAGGCCTTGTAATGCATATTAATAATTCAAAGGAACTGCTAAATCTATCCCATGGGCTCCCAAAGTAAAAAGCCTTTGGTGAATCCTGAATTTGGCCTTCTTGTCAGGAGTTTGAAAGCTATCTGTCTGTTCCCAGCATGGCACTTAGAAAGAAGGGTCCTGGCCAGGAGTCCTCATGACTCCTTCACCTCTGCATCTTTGAAGTTCATTTCTCTTTAGTTTCCCCTGTTGTGAGTGGAATTCTGTACTCCAGAAAGATAAACTGAGGCCTTAACTTGTGGTACCTGCGAATGTAGCCTAAACTGGGTAACCCAGTCCTTAAGAACATAACCAAGATGTGATGAGGTCGTGGTAGACTAATTGGACTCCACATCCAATGATGGCTGTCCGGATATGGATACTGATAAACAGTGCAGATGATCCTTATGGCTCTTGCCCATGAGTACATCTCATAAGACTGGGACAGGGCCTGTGCCTGGAAGGTGAGCTGTCTCTTTGTGGGGCTTTACCCAACAATGGAAGGGAAAGAAATGTAACCCCCAAAGAGAATGGGGAGCTAGTTCCTCTGAAGGAGAGAAGAGGCATGAATGTGCTGGCTAGTAGATTTTTGTTTTGTTTTGTTTGTTTGTTTATTCATTTTGTTCATTGTTTGTTTGTTTTGTCATCTTGACACAAGCTAGGATCATCTGGAAAAAAGGAGCCTCAACTGGAAAAAATGCCTCCATCAGATTGTCCTTAGGCAAGTCTGTGGGACTTTTTCTTCATTAGCCATTGATGTGGGAGGGCCCGGACCACTGGAGGCAGTGCTGCCGCTGGGATCCTGGCCCTGGGTTATATGAAACAAAGCAAGCTGAGCAAGCCAGTAAGCAGTGTTCTGTGGTCTCTTTGGTTCATGGTCTCTTTAGTTCCTGCCTTGTCTTCCTCTGATGAAGGAAGCCAAATCAACACTTTCTCCCCCAAGTTGCTGTTTGTCACAGTGTTTATCACAGCAATAGGAAGAAAATGAAGACAACAAGAATCCAATGAGTTGTCTGTACAAAGAACCAGGAAGAGGTTAAAAGAAAAACCTGTACAACTCCAGATAGCTATACCTTCATGCAAGGCAAGGCAGAAGCAGGATGTGCAGTAAAGTAGGTTGCAAAGGCTTCTCAATAGATAAATACATTTTAAGGTGGGGGAGAGAATCCAACCACTTTGAAAGGCAAGAAAAAAGTAGAAGGGTAATGAATAGCAAGGAGATAATTAACTGCATGGAAATTTATAAACGTATGGGTAGAAACCTATCAGATAAGGTGAAAGGAGGAAAGGACAAAAGTGAGGTAATACGACAGACAAAGTGAGTGATACCTTGTTTTAACCTGTGATGAGAATGGAATGGACAGAAGGTGTTATAATGAGCAGCTTCAACTGCCAAGACATTGGCTAGAAATTTTGAACTCAAGGCTGGGGAAGTGGCTTAGTTGGTAAAGTGTTATGCACAAACCAATTCCCAGAAGCTACATAAAAAGCCAGGCCTGGTGGTACATGCCTATAATCCCAGCACAGGGAGAAAGAGACCGAGAATCCCAAAGTCATGTTGGCAAGCCAATCTAGCCAGTCATCGAGCTCCAGACTCATTAACAGTGAGAGATCCAGTCTCAAAAAATAATAATTGGGACTGAAGAGATGGCTCAATGGTTAAGAGTACTTGCAGCTCTTCCTGAGGACCCAGGTTCAATCCTCAGTGCCCACGGTGGCTTATAACTGTCTGTAACTTCTGTTTCAAGGGATTGGATCACTGTCTTCTCTTGGCCCCTGTGGGTACCAGGCAGATGTGTGGTGCACACACATGCATGCAAACACACATACATACAGGCAAAATACCCATACACGTCAGATAAAATTAAAACAAAAAAAATAGTACGGTGATCAATAAAGGAAGAAACCTAAGGTTGACCTCTGGCTTACAAAAATAGACACATACACACAGAGGTATGGACACGTATATATACACATGCACATGTACATGAAATTTAACTTAAAAAAGAAAAGCAATCTAATCTGGCTTAGAGACAAATACTTGGCATATTCTTCACTAGTCTCATTGGTCCATTTAATAGCTCAAATTGCTAAAGAAATGACCATGGGCAGAAGGAAACCCATAGGAACCTCAATCATTCACTTAAGTGTCATTGCGTATGGGGCACAGTTTGAATCCAGCCTGGGCTCCACTGTGAGACTCTTTGTCAGAAACAAAACAAAACAAAAACACTCTAACTAACAAACCAAGGCTGCTGTGTTAGATACCAAGAAATAAGATTATCCAATAAATGTAAAAGGAAGGCAGTTCTAGAAGCTATACCCTCTCTGTGTCAAAGCTAAGTGGATCCCTGGGAGGAAGAAAAGCCAAGAGGACCTCTCGAGTAATACTAGTCCATTGTGTTTAGTTTAGTTCACATCATTCTAGTGTTTAAATATGAAAGTTTACAAGATGTAAAGAAGTCCCATTGGAGATGGTGGGTTATACCGAAAAACTTTGAAACAGCCCCACAGTCTACTGACTAGCTGGTAATCAACATCAGGCTCAGATAAGAGTGGAGCACAGAGGACTGCTCTGCCGTGCGGCTGCTGTCTACAGGCTGTTCAAGGAGCTCATCATTATAGTTAAAGAAGAGTTCATGGATGAGAGGGTTGTAAGGGTAGGAGGAGGGATCTGAGGCCCTGGTGAGTAAAGATGGGGTAGAACACTTGCAAGAACTCCAAATGTGAACACGACTCTGGAACTTGTGGCGAATGGAAGAGGTCAGGGAGGCCAGAGCAGGCAGATGACAGGTTGACCTCAGAAAAGGGGGTGACAAATGAGGACATTAGTGCCATTGAGAGAAACACAGCTTGTGCCAGGCATGCAGTTTCTTACAGATGAATGATAGCACTAGAAGGTCATGGAATACCCGAGGTTGCACAGTGACTACCAATACTAGATTTGAATCTAGATCTTTGCTCTCGATGAATCCTTCTATGATCTAAGATCCATTGCTATCATTACCTCTGCTCTCGCTTTGCTGTCTGTGACTTGGGCAATCCTTTGCTCTCTGACCCTCCTCCAAGACCTCTAATATCACACTATGATTGCCTTTGGATGCTGGACCACCATGGCTCAGCAGCATCCAGCTGGACCAAGACACTGTCTCCATAAGTATTGAATCCATTCTGGAGGTTGGCCCTTTACTACTTACCAGCACAGTGTGCTTATAAGCCCGGTGAATCACAATGCTGTAGCCAAACACGGTCACGTCTACCTGTTTCACCCACAAGGCCAGTGATGGGTCCCGATCCTCATTCTTGGCTGTTACAATGAACTTGGGGATAGAGTCTGAGATTGATCTGCTTCCTGTAGTGCAGAGGATGAGAGGGCAACTGGTCTGGAAGTCAAAGGCGTAGCCATCAAAGGTGAGGTAGTGGCCATAGCCAGAGACGATACATGAAGCATCGGTACGGGGCTGGCAGTAGTATAAGCCACTCTCTTCCATGCAGTATTCATCGTCTCTGCAGGGAATGGTCTCACAGTGGACACTGTTGTCTGTGCCATTGCAGTAGCAGAAGATCTGGCAGTCTTGGTCCACCCAGAAGGTCTCATTGGTGGCAAGTTGATGTCCCTCAAAGTTGCAGCCGCACTCGCTCCGAGTCACACACTGGCTACCCTGCAGGGCATAGCCTTCATCACATTGGCATCCCTCTGAGCAGCTATCCACACAGATGGGGCCCAGGGCCAGGGTCTCACAGGTCTCTGTACATGTCATACACTCCTCAAAATGGCTGTTCTCTGGGCACTCTAGAGCTGAGGGTGGTCAAAGAGAAGGCAAGTTTGAGAAATGAGCAGAGGGAAGAGCCATAAGTATGTAGGTATGTGCACACTGTGCAACCGCGTATGTGTGCAATCACACATGGGCTCATATTTGTGTGGCACAGTAAGCTCAATGAAGCTGCATAATTGAATACTGTCATCCTCACTGGTGTGATCGATGGTCAGAGGACACTAACAGGCTCCATTTGTGTATTTGATCGTCTACATAGAAGAGTCTTTGTCTCCAAACCAGTACTGAACACCTACTACTTGTGGACTCTCTCCTGGTGTGCCTCACCTCAACCACCTGGATTAAGACAAGTCTTTTTATCACTGTTCTATAGGTGAGGATATGGGAGGCCAATGATTAAATTTATCTACCTGATAAGAGCCAGGCAAGGGTTCAGATGTCTTGACATACATTCTAAAGACAGTGTGTGACGTACTACGAAAACATTTGCTTTGTGGCTATAAAGATCTCTCTGTTTGGGCTTGTGAATATCTCTGAGTTCTAGTGTCTTGTTTGTTGTTATTGTTCAACAATAGACATATTTACCTGACAGGATTATTCTGAGGATTAATAATTTAATATGCTGAGTCCATAGTAGAGTATCAATAAATAGCACACACTCCCCACACCTGGACCATCTTTCCTGCCTTGGCCTTACGTCTTTCTCTTTGTCTTTTATTTCTCTGCGTCTGGCACCTACTGTCTCCTTCACCTCCTCACCATGCTCTGTGTGCAGTCATCCCTCTGACTCTGCTCACACTGTCCTCTGCCAGGGTATTCCCCCTACAAAGCCATGTCTCGTGACTCATTCACACTTCTTTTCAAATCACACTTTCTCCCAGAAGCCTTCCTTGTTAGATCAAGTCTCTGCCATAGAGGAGCATGAACAGCTGTCTATGAGGTTCTGGGTAAGGACCCCAATTCTCTCCATGCCTTGGATGGTGACAATTTGACAGGAGCAGGGACAGAATCCAAGAGCACAGAAGAAATCTGCCTACAAGTCTGTGTGGTCTAAAGATCTGCAGAGGTCCCCACTTCTCTGGGAAAACAAGATCTTGCTCAGAGAACTTTCTTTGCCAGACATACAATCCTTCCTTGCCAGTGTCTTACGAACCAAGGACATGAAGGACACTACAGAGAAATAAATTGCATAGACATAATAGCTCTGCCCATGAGGACCAACGCAATCGTTCTGCACTGTGGACTGGAAGCCAATCTTTTTATTTTTTCCTCTAGGCTAAAGGACTCCCCATTTCCGTTGACTACAATACCATACGGCTTTGAAGTTGAAGGCTAGTTCAACACTGATTATATATGTCTGGATAGAGGGATTTTCACACTTGTCTGTAAATTATGAATGTTATAGCAATGACTGCAGGTTTATGGGGAAAGCAAATAACATGACTTATTTAAATGGCTGTTGCTTATGACTTATTGTATTGTCTGGTTTTGTCTGAAAGTCTGGAATATAGAAATGTGGAGTAATAAAACTTTACCCTGCCCCTGAAATCACTCTGGGAAATTACTAAATTGGGGATCCAGCTCTGCCAGCAACAGAGCTGGTTAAAAATGTTTAAACACAGATAGCATGGTAGTCTCTTTCCAAGTTCAAAGAAGATGCTGTTCCTTGAAATGGACTGGATGACAAATACAGACAAGGAACAGCATCTCCTTTGAACTTGGATTGGGTGATAACTACAGATTTTCAGGACCCAGTCAAAACAAGTTCTCACTACTCAGACAGCTGGCTGATCAAGTGTGCACACTTTGGTCATTCTCAACAGATCCAAATGAGCCAGCCTAGTGGGTGGGCCAGATGTAAGCCTGTCTGTCTTCCTGATGAAACTATACTCCAGGCAGCCACCTCTGCCCAAATCCCCTTTAAGAAGTGTTTACACAAGCAGCCCTGATTCCACTGGCCTGGTGAGGCTTGGTGACATGCCACCAAAATGTGCTCTGTACAGTACAAAACCCACAAGCACTCTCTTCCAGGCAGGAGCTAGTTGTCTAGAAGGATGACCTGGCAGTTGCATAGATCTGGGATGGGGGAACTTGGCAATTCCACACTGTATGAAATCCATCCAGAAAGCTGGGTGTGAGAACAGGGGCAGAAGCCACACTAGAGAGGATGGAGGAAGGAAGGAGGTGTGGGAGAGATCAGATAGACCAGAGAGGCTTTGCAGAAGTATTTCAAGACCCCACTAGGTAGAGCAGTTAATAAGAGCACAGTGGCTCTCCTGCTGAAGGTAACTGTATGAAGAGTTCAGCTTCAGGACCCATGGCATCTTCCTGATAGTCCCTTCTGAAGGAAGTTAAGGCTCATCAGGAACAGACTTGCCCAAATTGACAGGCACTCAGCCTGCCACATACTCATTGGATTTCTGAAGTTCATAAATCAGAGGTTTAAAGGGGTGTGTGTGTGTGTGTGTGTGTGTGTGTGTGTGTGTGTGTGTGTGTGTGTACACATGTGTGTATAACTCTACTGAAAGATACTCCCAAACAAAAATACCCCCAAGAGCACTGGGTAACTGGTACCCAGATGTTTGTCTTTGTAATACTCCTCACTAAAAGGGAGTAGAGTCTCTTAGTATGAGTGCTGCATGTTGCTCGAGGTGAAGAGAATACAGAGAACCATGTTTGCTTAGAAAGTAAGACAGTGCTAAAACACACAGCAGAGGTATGACAAAGGACAGGAGTCAGTTCAAAGGTTCCTATAGGCCAAACATGGAACAATTTTAACACCAAAATACTTTTTAAATGTAATATGAAATATAAGACCTTAAAAAAATAGAATCCATGTCCATATTGTTGAGATGAGGTATGAGAGTAGATGGGTGAATCAACTGAGGGCCAGTTGGGAGAGATAGGAAGGCTCTTGCCTGTATTGGGATGGCAACTCCTGACTGGTAAAGTAGGGAAGACAGTGCTGGACCTGGAATTGTCATTTGGTAATCACAGTGCAAATGTATAGCACAAGCCAGAATCAATTGACATTAGGTGCTGAACCAGGGCAGAGATTTTGATGGACAGCAGCAAAGGAGCATGTAAAAAAAAAAAAAAAATCTCCCCACACTTTGCATTTTGTTTGGCCTGTACAATAGCGTGCAGCTCACCCACAAGGGGGCAGGCTGGGCATAGCCTTAGTCTGCTTGTAGAGTTTGTGAGGATGCTGGATGGGGTGCACAGTTGAGGCTCACCTTGAGTGACACCAAAGTCTACATAAGAAGCCATTCTATTTTAAAGGCACAGAAAGCTAAGGGGTTGTTCCAATCATATTACGGAACATATTGTAGGACTGAAGAAATGTGTATTAACATATGAACCTAGACTAGATCCGTGCAGAGGGAAAAAACATAAAAGCTACTACTGAGTTAAATGACAAAACTAGGATGTGGATGTTAAGTTGTTCTATCTACATTAAAGTTCCTAAAGAAGATGACTGCACTACAAGTATGTAAGTCAATGACCTTAGTCTCAGGAAATAGCTACAGAAGAACTAGTGGGGATGGGTGATTAATTGGAATCTCAAATGTCCCCCAAAAGTTAAAGGTTTGGTCTCCAGAACAGGTTTTTGGAACATTAAGGGTGTGCCTTGAAATGGATAGTGAGAACGAAGTCCTTCCTTTCCCTCCCACTCATACAATGAACATGTTTCCTTCCCCTATATGTACCCCACCATGCTCTAACCTCACTGCAGGCCCAAAAGCAACGGGGCCACTAGGGCCAACGAACCCTTGAGCTGAAACCATGAGCCAAACAATGCTTCTCTCTGTGTAAGTCAGTTTCCCTTGGGTATTTTGTCACAGTCACCGAGCGTTGAGGAAAGGGCCACGGTAAGCCCAAATTTCTCTCAGATTGGGATGGAGGGGGGCAGATGGGAAAAGAACACAAAAGGGATAGACTGCATACAGTAGGTTTAATCTGGGTAACGAGTACATAGAAATGCTCATAATATTAGTGTAACTTCAAAACTATTTATTTTTTTTTAATGATCAAACATAGAGTGGGTCATGACAGAGAGATACACAGACCCAGAAGTTGGCATCTTCATGGTTTAAATTTTGGTTTAGGGCCAAATTTTTAGTGGGAGAGAGTGATATATAGAAGTCCTGGTTATGCCATCCTTACTGTCCTGCATGGGTTCCACCCTCTCAGCCACTCCCTTCTGCTTCTCCTGATAAGCTGGCTATTGGGTATCTTGTCTGCTCATAAATTATTCTAATGACTACTAGTTTATCCACTGCCTGGATGAGAGGGATCACATACTCTGGGAACAAAATGAAGAGCCAGGTACATGGGACTGTCTTAATAGCCATTGTCAGGGAGAAACACTGATCTCCAACACCTTGAAGAGCTTCCCAGATGATTGTACCCTACCAAAATGAATGGGGCTCTTCTTCCCCCAAGGGGAAGGTACCCACAGAGCCATTACCAAGGTTTCTGGTCCTTTAACCCAGTGCCTGTGCTCTCTGTAGATAAAACCACCAGTCAATGGGATGACTAACTGCTCTACAGTGAAAAGATATTGTGTGTTTAGGAATGAGAAGGATGGCTTGGGAGATGTCTCAGTTGATAAAGTATCTGCCACACAAACATGAAGGCCTTAGTTTAGATTTCCAGCAACCATATAAAAGCTTGAGTACCTATAACCTCAGCACTGAGAGAGGTGGATTGATCCCTGGTGCTCTCTGTTCAGTGAGTCTAGCCAGTCAGTGAGCTCTAGATTCAGTAAAAGGCATTGTCTCTAAAGATAACATTGGAGGGGCTGAAGAGATGGCTCACCAATTAAGAGCACACACTGCTGTTGCAGAGGACCCGGATTTGATTCCCAGTACCCATATTGGGATGCTCACAATGGTCTGTAACTCTAGCACCAAGGCATTGAATGTTATCCAGCCTCCAATGACAACTACACACACACACACACACACACACACACACACACACTCACACTGTGAAAATCTAAATCATTAACCAAAAAAAGGTAAGGTGGAAAGGAATAGTGGAAGATATCAATGTCAATCTCTAGCCTCTACACACACGTACATGTGCACATGCACACATATAAACCACACACACAAAAAAAAAAAAAAAAAAAAAAAAAAAAAAAACACATGTGAAATGAAGATAAGGGTGAGAAGCAGTCTAGTTTGGGGTAAAGAGACCAAATACAAGTCACTGGACTCCCTGTGAGCTCTGTCCAACTAAGAAGTCCTGACTAGGATACCATGGTAGAGCATGTGTCCCCAGCCCAACCCTCCCCACCACCACCAAACATGCAGCCCTAACTTACGGCAGAAGTCATAGGTCCTCCAGGGGCCCACCTCTACATCTGCATTCTTGCAAGCACTGGCATAGCGGGCCACAGAATCACACAGCTCTGACTCATTGCCCCCACTCTGGCACAGGCGAAAAAGGCAAGTGCGGTAGTAGGCAGTGACATTAACCACCCCGTGGCACTCCAGGAAGGAGCTGTTGGAGGGGTCATTGATGATACCACACCGGGAGCGGCCCCGGTAGAACTTGAGCAGTTCGGAGTCATTGTTGCAGGCCTTCAGCAGGTCCCCACACTCGCCATTGCAGATTTCCTCAAATGTTGTCCAGCTCTCCAAGAACACTGCCAGGTTGTCTGTGCACTTGCCATTAGGGAGGCAGAACTCATCACTGGCATTGGCATTGAAAAAGCCACACAAGCCTCCAGTACAGTTAAAATACATGGTGGACAGCCGGATGTACAATAGGCCCACATCAGAGTACTGGACTGTCACCACGCCTTTAGACTCTACGGTCGTGCTGTTTTTGTTTCGATAAATCTCCAGCCTCCCCGAGGGATGGAAATAGGGTAATTCCACATCTTGACCATTAAGCTGAAAAATTGAAAGCACTGCCATCAATGACAGGGACCCATGGAGGACCCACTGTTTCAGAGAATGAGAGGGATCACATACTCTGGGAAAGAGCCAACTCTGTGCCAGGACCAGCTCCTTGAAAATGCCAAGGAGCTGATGGTGTATGTAAACTGCACACAGATATCACCTGTTTATTCCCAGGATTGTTTCTTTCTTTTGAAACCTCTGTTCTCTCATTACTTTAGTGTGTCCCAGGCCTTAAGCTAGTCCCACACAAAAACACTGAGTGAAACTATCTTGAAAGGCTGTATTACTCCTGCAGCCAATTTCCCTGCAAGTGCTGTTTCCCAGACAGCGCCCTTCCTCCACTCCTTTCTGGCTACTTCTTTTGCCAGCAGATTTTAATTTTTCCTGTGCCCCAGTCCATTGCAGTGCATCGAGGAGAGCTAATGTCTAGCTGTCCATTCACCTATGCCTGTTATTCCTTTACTAGATTAATCTCTGTCAATTCACTAATGGGGCTGAGAACACAGCCTTTTCTGTCTGTGGATGTCTGTCATGTAATCTCCCTAGGCTGCATGATGGTAACATTTGTTTTCAGAATGCCACTCAATTCACCTTAGACTGAAAGCAGGGAGAATCCTTTCTCTACACCACCTCATCTTAGCCAAGTCAGCTTAGCCCCTTGGCATCTCCTGTGGAATCAAACATTGCTCTAAGTGATTCCCAAGATTCCTTCCAGAACAAATGAACCTGGACACCCGATCATGGCTATATTAGCCCATATCAGAGGGAGAGGAGGCAGCATGCAGGCACCCCAAGAAATCTTACCTTGACTTCTATTATTGTGAACATGAACTCCCTTCTACATGCAGAAGGGATAGTACAGTATGAAGGACAGAAACGACAGTATCCAGCCTACTTGCACTTAAATCCTATTTTGAAAGCTATGTGTTCCAACAAGGCCACACTTAATCCAACATAGCCACTCCCTATGAGTTATGGGATCCAAATACATTCAAACAACCATAGTGAGGGTCCTATTTGGGTAGTGTAGCAGAAGCCAGAGGCCTTGAACAAGACCAATGACTAATAATAACGAACATTTGCAAGTAAAGTTGTTGGGTTAAAGGGTACACTGCGTGACACCGCAGCTTCCAATGCCACTACAATGAACAAATATATGATGGAGAGGTGGGAAAAACAGAGGAGGATAGTAGTACATGAACAGCAGAAAGAAAAAGATAGAGAGAAAGAAAGGAAGGAAGGAAGGAAGGAAGGAAGGAAG